CAAGCCTCCTCCAGAGCTGAGCTAGAGCCCCCAGGTCCATGGAGCCCTGTAGACTCCAGGCCTCCGCCCCCACTCTACCCCACCCAGGGCTCTGTACCCCTCGGGGGAGCCGGCATTTGGGTTTGGGCCCTGAGGACAGAGCTGTTCCCTGCTGAGGGGAGAAGAGAGGCAAAGGGCAGTGGCCCAGCAAACAGAGAGCCTGGCAGGGACCTCAGAGCAAGCTGGGGGTGGGGACAGACAGGTCACCTCATCTCCAACCACAGCCAGCTAGTGGCTTTGCTTCCCGTGTGGGCTGTGTCTGTGTGAGTCCCTTGTTTTGGCTTGACCTCCAGGGTCCTCTCTCTCTCCAGAACCCAGCCATGATCTTGACTGATCCCCAGAGTTGGTCCCTTCCAGGGTGGCATGGCCCCTGTACTCCCTCCAGGCCCTGGGGTGCACAAGTGAAGGAGCCATGCTAGGAGTTATTTATACGCTCCTCTAGCTTTTATTTGCTTGTTCTGTTGCCTAGCAACCAAATCAGCTGCTGCACCAACCCCACCTGATTTCAGCTTAAAAATAAACCAGGCAGCTGAGAGGACACTGCAGGGTGGCCAGGGCCGCCAGGCCTCCTGGATGTCGCTCCCTGGTTCAGGACTTAAAAGCTGAGCCTCGCCTGAATCAGAGAAGGACAGGAACCCTCACCGTCCCAAATCTGTGGGAGCAGGCACCTCTCTTCCCCCACTCCCCACACCATGAGAACAAGAGGGGGTGGGAAGCTTGGGACATGGCCACCATCACCACCCAGTGCCTCTCCCTACACCACAACTCCAGCCCTTCTACCACAGAGAGTGGTGGGGTGGGTGGCTGGGGCCTGCAGTGGAGGTCCAAACCCCAGTGTGGGCAAGTGTGGCCCCACGTGAAGGGGAGGGAAGCCCTCTCCGGGGTGAATGCCCTTGGGCCCGGCCAAGGTATATGGGGAACGCACCTGGTCACCTCCCTTCACCTACGCTTGGCCTGCCTCTTGCAGCTGTGCAGTGACCGACTCCCCTGAACCTTCTCCCGCAGATCGGAGCCTGCAGCTGAGCGCATGGGAGAGCAGCATTGTGGACCGTCTGATGACGCCCACTCTCTCCTTCCTGGCAAGGAGTCGCAGCGCAGTCACACTACCCCGCAATGGCCGGGACCAGGGTAGGGGCAGCGGCCCCGCGAGACCACCCGCGCGGGGCGGGACAAGGGCCCGTCTTGCCGCAGGGCCGCACCCCGACCGCACTCATCCCTCTGCAGCCGTGCCCGTGTGCCCGCGCTCGGCCTCCGCCAGCCCCCTGACACCCTGCAGCGCCCCCCGGAGCGGGCACCGCTGCACCGCAGCGGGGGAGCGCCGCAAGCCCAGTGCCGTGGGCAGCCCCTCCCTGGCTCGCCGCCGCCCGGAGGCCTCGCCGGTGAGTGGCCACCCCGCACCTGCACCCCCGAGGGGCAGGGTGCCCGGCCCAGGGAACGCAGCGGCGCTCATATCTTCCGGGCCTCCTCGCCCCGCCAGGTGCAGAAAAAGGAAAAGAAGGACAAGGAGCGGGAAAACGAGAAGGAGAAGAGCGCCCTCGCCCGAGAGCGCAGCCTCAAGAAACGCCAGTCCCTGCCTGCCTCGCTGAGGCCACGCCTCTCAGCGGGCCCCGCCTCCGAGCTCAGGTGGGCACGTTGGGCATTGAGTTCACAAGGTCGGCAGTTGGAAACCATCCGCCTCTCAGACGAGGCTTTCTCCTCCCAGTTAGTCTGGAACCCCCAGGGGCAGTTCTACCCCGCCCTACAGGCTCGCTGTGAGTCGGCATCGATTTGACAGCAGTGAGTTCGGTTCTTTGGTTTGCACTGTCCGGGAAACTCACTGTCAGTGAGTCAATTCTGACTCACAGTTGCAAAGGGCAATGGTTCAAACCCACCCAGCTACTGGCTGGAGAAAGATGAGGCTTTTGGTTCCCCTGAGGTGGGATCACTGAACCAGTCTGAACACGGGTTTGGGCTCAGGTTCTGGCTTATTTGTTGAGCACATACCTCTAGAAGGGAAATTCCTTGAGGGCAGGGTTTGGGGGTTCCGAGTGGTGCTTTAGCATTTTCATCACCGACGTGCCCCGCACCTAAGCCAGTGATCAGCGTCAGTACCTGCTGACGGAATGACTGCACCCTCGGGGACTGTCCTGGTGCTGGGGGCACTTTGTTGAGCAAAGCCAGGCGCGACTCATGCTGGGCTGAAGTTCGCTCTGAGGAGGCAGACACTACAGAGCCCCACAGTGCATCCCTAATCACCAAGTGGGGTCTACCCCTCTGTGAGGGCATCGGGGTGGGTGTGCAGGGGGAGGGGGAGTCCAGGCCAGCTGTGTGCCCCCGGCCTCACTCTTATCTCTTCTCTCAGCCCCAAGTCCAAGGCCCGGCCGTCATCTCCCTCCACGCCTTGGCACAGGCCTGCATCTCCCTGCCCCGGCTCCAGCCCAGGGCCCGGCCATGCTCTGCCTCCAAAGCCACCGTCTCCCCGGGGCACCACTGCCTCTCCCAAGGGACGCATTCGGAGGAAGGAGGAGTCAAAGGAGAGCCCCAACACTCCCAGGCCCGAGGACAAGAGCAGCCACAGCAAGGGCAGGGCTGGTGAGGAGGAGGCCACCACCACCCCCGTCTCACCAGCACCCTCGCCTGTGCCCTCACCCGTCCCAGCCCCACCCCAGAAGGAGCAGCCCACAGTGGAGAGCCCTGCAGGTGGGCATGCAGAAGAGGGGGTCGAGCGGTGGGCAGGGTGGGCCATCTGGGCAGGGTTGCCAGGGGCCTATGTTGGCACACAAGAAGAGGAGTCTCCTGTCCCCTGTGACTCCCGACCCAAGCTGCGGGCCAGAGACGAGGACCCAGCCACAGCCTTTGGGGTGGGCGGGCACCCCTGGAAGCATGGGACGTGCAGGGGCCGTGGGGCGCCTGCGCTGGTGTGTGCTGACTCCTGAGCCCGGTTCCCCCTCCAGGTTCTGCTCCCCCGGTGACCTCTAGCAAACCCATGGCCGGGACCACAGACCGCGAGGAGGCCACTAGGCTCCTGGCCGAGAAGCGGCGCCAGGCTCGCGAGCAGCGCGAACGGGAGGAGCAGGAGCGGCAGCTGCAGGCGGAACGGGACAAGTGAGTGCGCCCACGGGGCCGCGGGTAGGGGTGGGTGGGGGGTCTTGTGGGAGCTGGCGAAGAAGCTCCCCACCGAGCCCCAGTTCCCCTGTCCTCTAGGAGGATGAGAGAGGAGCAGCTGGCACGGGAGGCTGAGGCCCGGGCCGAGCGCGAGGCGGAGGCCAGGAGGCGGGAGGAGCAGGAGGCCCGGGAGAAGGCTCAGGCCGAGCAGGAGGAGCAGGAACGGCTGCAGAAGCAGGTGCCCCTGCGGGTCGGCAGGCGGGCGGCAGTGCCCGGTGGGGCGGTAGGAAGGGGCAGGGGGGGCTCCGAGAGAAGGCTGGACTCTGGCACCCAGTGCTCACACGAGCCCTTGGCAGAAAGAGGAGGCCGAAGCTCGGTCCCGGGAAGAGGCAGAGCGGCAGCGGCTGGAGCGGGAGAAGCACTTCCAGCGAGAAGAGCAGGAACGGCAGGAGCGCAAAAAGGTGCCCGGGGCAGGGGCTGAGAGGGGGACCTGGCGCGTGCGCGCGGTGGGTGGAGTCCGCTCCCAGCTGGGGGTGGGTCGCAGTTCCTGGAACTGGGGGTGGGGGTTGGGAGTGGGGTGCATGGGAGTGATCTTGTCTCGGACTTGTAGCCAGGTGGAGAAGGGGGAAGTAGGGCAGGTTCTGGGTCCTGGCTGCCTGACCCTAGGGAGGTCTGGGAGGTTGGTGTGAACCTTAGGGCGCTAGGGGTGGGGTAGGGTTAGGGCTGGGCCCAGACTGACCCGGTGTGGACCTCCCACAGCGCCTGGAGGAGATCATGAAGAGGACTCGCAAGTCTGAGGCTGCGGAAACCAAGGTCAGCCTCCCACCCTGAGGCCATCCTGTGGGTTGGGCTCCTGGCAGGTGGGGGTTGGAAAAGTAAAGGAGGTGGAGAAAGGTACCCAGCTCAGAGGACGGGAGCTTGGGGGGGGGGCACTCGGGCTGGGCTGAGGGGGAGAGGAACCAAGTGCCTCAGCTGGCATGTCCAAATACCCTTGGAGGCTGACTCCCCTTCCTCTCCAACATAGAAGCAGGATGGAAAGGAGACCAAGGCCCAGGACTCCGGCCCAGGTAAAAGCCCCTGCCTGCCTTATCACTAGCCCCAGTTCTCCCCTCCGTCTCCAGCCCCTACTAATGGGCATTCCTCCTGTGTCCAGAGCTCGTGAACACCGGGGAGGTGCGGCCCTTGGCGCTGCAAAAGGAGGCTGTGCAGAAGGGGGAGCTGGAACCCCAGGATTCCCAGTGGAGGTAGTAGCTCCCAATTCCGGGGACACCCAGCACGGGAGCAGCCTGGCACTGGGGGTGATCTGGGTTTTACAGGGATGTGAGGTGCCTGATTGCTGCCCCACACCCACTCTACCCACAGCCTGCCAAACAAGGAGTCGCCAGGGTCCCTGGTGAACGGCCTGCAGCCCCTCCCAGCACACCAGGAGAACGGCTTCTCCCCCAAGGGGCCCCCAGGGGACAAGAGTCTGGGCCGAAAGCCAGAGGCGCTGTTGCCCTTTGCTGAGGCAGAAGCCTTCCTCAAGAAAGCTGTGGTGCAGCCCCCTCAGGTCACAGGTAGAGACCCCTGAACCCAGGACCCAAATCATTACCTCCACCACCCCACACACCCCACCCCAACAACCCTGCCAGGGCTCCCAGACCCGCCCCCCACTTCCCTGCTCAGCTAGAGCCCTCCCATGGTCCACCCAGACACTCCCCGCCAGCAGTTCACCCTGGCTCTTTTCTTCACAGAAGTCCTTTAGGGAGTTGCAGCAGACCCGGAGCAGCTCCGAGGGCTCCCCTACAGCGTCCTCCAGGATGTCCGGAGGAGAGAGCGACAGAACAAAGCCGGAAGTGGCCTGGGCCCCTGAAGAAGGGGACTCTGTTGTTTTTAACCTGCACCTTATAGACTGACGTCCTTTGGCCAGCGCTGGACCCTGCCCCCCAGTGCACATGTGTGCGCTCACGCATGGACACCTCCCCCCAACACACACACATACACTCACAGCCTCTCTGGCCTCCCCCTTGGGGATGGGCCACCTGTAGTATTTTGCCTTGGTTTGGTGGGGTACAGTGGATGTGAATACTGTAAATAGCTTGTGCTCAGACTCCTTCCGAGCGGAGGGGTGGGTGCAGGAGGCAGACACTCCCCCTCCTCCCCACTAGGCTCCCGGAGAGATCTTCCTCTCTGTATTTAACTATGAGAGGGAACCCAGGTCTGGAGAATGGGGGTCACTGGGGGCCATGGGAACTGGTTTTAGGGGCACCCATGTGCCCTGCCCTCACCTGGAATCAGTGTTATTGCCTCTGATCAAACTTCTCCAGAAATAAAGTGAGAGTAAGTCTGCCAGTCCTGTCTGTCCCTGGGGCTGGCCACGGGGGAGGGGGGGAAGGGCGGGGAGCAGGCGGCTTCCTAAGTTCTATGAATTTGGGGAGCCTAGGGCTTGGGACCTGGTGGCACTGCGAGGCAGCATTGGACTGGTAACCACACGGTTGTTAGTTCAAAGCTACCAGCCGCTCTGAGTGAGAGAGATGAGGCTCTATCTGTTCCTGTAGAGATTTACAGCCTTGGAAACCCTACGTTGGGTTGTTGTGAGTTGGGATTGACTCAATGGCAGTGGGATTGGTTAGGATTTGAAGGTGTCCGTCCTCTGGGGGTATCAGACCTAGTTGTCCTATGATGTGGACTTTCCAGTTTAGTCAGAAATCCATTCACTTATTCACTCAACAGATACTGTTTGTTGCCTATTCTGTACTGGACAGCAGGCGACATGCGAGACGCAGTGCTGAAACAAAACTCACCTCTGTCCTCCTAGAGTTGACGGTCTCGGGAGTGAGTGTCACAGACCCTCTGGTTTGCCTGCACAGCATCCAGCTCACCTCTCTAACCTCATTGCAAAGCACCTTGATCGTGTTCAGGTGGCATCTGCCCAGATGCCGCCCCCTGTGTTTCAGCGGCAGTGGCCCTAGCCCAGGGCTGAATCGGGATTGCCTCAGACATGGACACCTGGCAAGACGCCAGCCAGCAGAGGTGACAAGAACCTGGGGGGTAGGGGGCCTCTCTTAGGCAAGGCTGCTTTGCTTCTCAAAGGAAACACCATGTGCTGGCCAGCCTCTAAGATGTACCCTAAGGTCCCCTGCCTCCTCCTGGCATCCCGGCCCCTGTGTGCTCTCTTCTCACGTGGCATCGGGTTGGCTGCGTGGCCAATAAGACAGCAGAACTAAGGGCTGTGGAAGACCCTGCAGACACTGCTTCCATTCTTCTCACGCTGCTCGGGGGCACTCACTTCGGATGAGGCAGCTGCTGTCCTCAGCCACCTGTGGGGAGGCTGCTGCAGCCCTGCCAATAGCTAGCTACCTGAATAATCTTGGAAGCAGGTCCTCCAGCCCCAGTTAAGCCTTCAGATGCCTGCAGCTTCCTAAGAGATGCGGGCGAGGCCAGCCTGCTCAGTTGCTCCTGGATTTATAGCCCTCAGGGACTGTGAGATAATAAATGCTTGAAATGACCAAGTTTGGGAGTGATTTGTTACACAGCAATAGCTAACTTACACACACAATAAGGAGAAAGCAAGAGGGGG